TTTTTTTTTTTTTTTTTTTCTTTTTTTTTTTTTTTTTTTTTTTTTGTCAACATTCCTTGTGCAGATTGGGGGAAAAAAAATTATACTTGGAACATTCAAGAGTAAACCCAATTTTTTTATTTCCTTATAATTCAAATGAAAATCCAAATTCACCAAGAAAAATCCCCAAATTCACCAAAATGATTGTATCTTCAAACATGCAAAACAGAAACAGAAAATGAACTAGCAAAACAAACACATCCTTCAAAATTTAATCTTAAAATGAATATTTAGATTCACCAAGAAAAATCTCCAAATTTATAAAAAAAAATACCCAGTATATAACACCCCCCAAGAAAAATCCCCAAATTCACCCAAAAGATTGAATCTTTAAACATGCGAAACGGAAACAGAAAATGAATTGAAAAGAGAGAAAAAAATCCACCTTTCTTTGTCATCAAATTCCAGTAAATTCTCTCCAAATGAAGCCTCCATTTCTCCATCACCACCATTTTTCTCATCCTTCTGATTATTTTCCTCCGCCTCCAATTTTCCCTCCAGCCCATCAATTTGCTCCTCCTTTTCCTCCTCAAAATTTAGGGGACCCACTTTACCTTTGCCTGATTTTGGCTGAGGGTGTTTCTTTCTTTTAGCTTCTGGCACAATTGGGGGTGTGGGCTTCACCAATCGTCTGCTCCTCAGCTGCAAATACGACCCATCATCACCGCTAATCTCCGCCGATGATTTCTGAAGGGCTAGGGTTTTTGCTCTTGTACGAACACCGAGTGAGGATTGGACAGCGGCGTGGGCGTGGTTCACCTCCATCACCGCTACTTCACCAATTACCTTCGATTTCCTCATGTACTTGACCATTTTTCGACCTCCCTTTTTCTGCTTCCCTCTCACGCTGTTCACCATTTGTATATATTTCGTCAAGACATCATTTGAACAAAATGGACATTTAGAAAGAAATTAGCAACAGTTCTTCGTGCGCGTGCTTGATTACTTTTTTCAGTTGTTGGTTAGGAAAAGGAGAGGTGGTTTTGCAGTTGTTTGTTTTATAGAGAGAGAGAGAGAGGGTAAAAGGGGTAAGAACCAGTGCGTGTGCAAGAACCTGGTTTTTGTATGAGGGAGTAGGGAAGGAGGTGATGTGAGTAGGGTGGTTTTATAGAAGAGGGGGATGTATTCTGTATAGCTTATCATCTCATGGGAGAGAAATAGAATTTACCCTCTTTGGAGCATGTTTGTCTAAGCTTAAACGTAATTAAGCCCTTGTTTGAAAGTGTTTTTTGATTATCACTTTTGTCCCAAGACTCATTTCTAATCATACATTCTTCAAAAAAAATTGTTTTCATATGTACACCTAACTTTTCTCTAATTCTAAATCAAGCATTTTTAAAAAGAATAGCTCTAACACAAGTATTAAAAGTTACTTTTAAGAAATGTTTTGAAAATCAAACAAGACATAGATATGTCAAAAGGTCTTGAACCAATTGAGAGTTACGCAAGGAAGGAAAATATAAACCCCGTTTGAAAGTGATTTTGAGAATTGATTTTTTTACTATTAGGAGAAAAGTGGGATCCATTTGTGAGATAAGAAGTCAAATAAGACAGCTGGAATAGTGAAATAACAGTCAAAAAATCAATTTTTTGGTTCAAAAA